CGTCCTGCTTACAGATGTCCCATAATTAAGAATGGAGCCTACGGTAGCAACATTTGAGATAAATGTGTCATTATTCAAGTTAAATAGACAATGGTTCAAGTTTATTACACAATACAGTTATCATACAATAATACGGTAATATGAATTTGACTTAAGGACAGACCCGGGGACTGGGACTTGTTCTTAAAACTGAAGTACATAACTGAAAAGCTGCATATTCTGCTAATTACCACTCTTAATATAAAAGAATTTCTGTAGCTCAGAGAACTGTGATGTTCTCTGAGTTTGGTGGTTTTTCAATTGTTTCATTACCTGACTAGGTAACATCACCAGGGTGATGGAGGGTGGGGTTCACTGGCTATTTATATATAGGAATAGCCCTGCCATCTCCTATGAGTGGGAGTGTAATTTCCTTCCTCCTCCTCCATGGAAAACCCCCACCCAAATTAGCAGGGTAACCTATATATAAACAGCCAGTGAGCCCCACCCTTCTTCACACTGATGACATTAACTAGTCAGGTAATGAAACGCCTGCAAGCAAATAACTAAGCTCAGAGAACACCAAAATTGGCTGCATTTTAACTGTAATGTGCTTTTCCTGGCCATAAGGTGCTGGTATGATGCACCACCCATTCTCACATACATACACTTTCCCTCAAAAATCATAAAAGTAGCATTTTCCAAACTTGGCAACTTTAAGTGGGTGGACTTCCAACTCCCAGAATGGAATAGATAATATATGGGCGAAAGTATGTCAAAAAAGCATGCAACATTCTTGTTCCAAATCTGCTCTTTGCAGGCAGGGATCAAAGAGAGAAAGTAAGAGAAAGCACCACTGCCTTGAAACGATGGAGGAAAAATGTTCTGATGTAGCAATAGGAAACTTGATAATACTGTAGATCAGGGCTTTTTAACCTTTTCACCATTGTACCACTTTTAGGATATGGCAATATCCGAGTACCACCAGTCGCCTAGCAAGGTGTCAAAAACTTGATGACAAAAAAAAAGGAAAAAAGTGATAAAAGTACAGGTAGTCCTCGACTTACAACAGTTTGCTCAGTGAAGTTACAATGGCACTGAAAAAAGTACCCCCCAAGCCACAGCCGAGCAAGATACCTACCTGCCTGCCCGCCCGGCGGCGCTCTTCCTCCTGTCCGAGGTTTTCATTGTTGTGAGCATTTCTGTTGAGGATTGGCAGCGGGGCTGGGGTGGGGGTGTTTGGTTTTTATTCCCCCCCCCTGTCTGCTGGGTGGTTGCAGCAGGTTTTGGTCACTTCACATGACCCTGGGATACTGTGACCGTCATAAATATGAATCAGTTGCCAAGCATCTGACTGTAAATCACAAGGCCCTGAAGATGCTGCAATGTTCCAGCTGATCAGCACTTCTTCTGGGCTCAGCGGAAGCGCCAGGATCAGCGCCGAGTTCCAGCTGGAGCCTGGCGCTGATCCTGGCACTTCCGCTGAGCCCTGACAGCCCTGCAGTTCCAGCCATCTCTCGCTCAGGCTTGTGCGGTGCTGCCACTAGTTCAGCTCATTCCCCTCCCCCGCTACCACTTTTCTAGGATGGTTGCATACCAGATTACTTACAGGACCGCATACTGCCACATAGTTCCCAGAGACCGGTGAGGTCCCACAGATTGGGCCTCCTTGAGGTCCCGTCGGCCAGACAATGTCGGCTGGCGGGCCCTTGGGGAAGGGCCTTTTCTGTGATGGCTCCGACGTGGTGGAATCAACTGTCCCCCGAGATTTGGACTACTCCCACCTTGCCGGCCTTCAAGAAAGCCATTAAAACTCTCCTGTTCCGGCAGACCTGGGGTTGATGTTCCTGGGGGGGCCGGAATACGATTGGGACATGCTATATGAATGCACTCATTTTTATTGTTATATTTATTGTTTTAATTTTGTACGCCGCCCTGAGTCCCTAGGGATTGGCATATAAATTTTATAAATAAATAAATAAATCTGCCAGGTGCCAATGTACCACAGGTGGTACCCACTGGTTTAAAAGCCCTGCCGTAAATCAAGGGAGTTCACACTGGCCATAACACAGGCTAAGGTGGGATGGCTACTTTGGGTGTGTGAATACAGGTAGTCCTCAACCTACCACCACAATGGAGCCCAAGTTTTCTGTTGCTAAGTGAGAAATTTGTTAGGTGAGCTTTGCCCCCATTTTATAACTTTACTCGCCCCATTTGCTAAGTGAACCACTGCTAAGTTAGTCACACGGTTGTTAAACAAGTCTAGCTTCCCCTTTTGACTTTTGAGGTATTAATACCACTCTATAAAGCCTTAGTAAGACCACACCTAGAATACTATAATTCCCACTATAAAAAAGATGTTGAGAGTCTAGAAAGAGTGCAGGGAAGAGCAACAAAGATGATTAGGGGACTGGAGGCTAAAACCTATGAAGAACGGCTACAGGAACTGGGCATGGCTAGTCTAGTGAAGAGAAGGACCAGGGGAGACAATATAGCAGTGTTCCAATATTTGAGGGGCTGTCGCAGAGAAGAGGGGGTCAACCTATTTTCCAAAGCTCCTGAAGGCCAGACAAGGAATAACAGATGGAATCTGATCAAGGAGAGATTCAATCTGGAAATAAGGAGAAATTTTCTGACAATGAGAACAATTAACCAGTGGAACAGGCTGCCTCCAGATGTTGTGGTTGCTTCATCACTGGAAACTTTCAAGAAGAGACTAGATTGCCCTGTGCAGAAATGGTGTAGTGGGGTTTCCTGCTTGGGTTGGTGGTTGGACTAGATCAAGGGTAGGCAACCTTGGCTCTTTTATGACTGGTAGACTTCAACTCCCAGAATTCCTGAGCCAGCCACGCTGAGGGGAAAGGAAGAGGTTTCCATGCTGAGCCATACTGGCTCAGGAATTCTGGGAGTTGAAGTCCACGAGTCATAAAAGAGCCAAGGTTGCCTACCCCTGCACTAGATGACCTACAATAGGGGTCTTCAAACTCAGCTCTTTTATGACTCGTGGACTTCAACTCCCAGAATTCCTGAGCCAGCCACACTGAGGAGAAAGGGAGGTTTCTATGCTGAGCCATACTGGCTCAGGAATTCTGGGAGTTGAAGTCCACGAGTCAAAGAGCCAAGGTTGACTACCCCTGCACTAGATGACCTACAATAGGGGTCTTCAAACTCAGCCCTTTTATGACTCATGGACTTCAACTCCCAGAATTCCTGAGCCAGCCACGCTGAGGAGAAAGGGAGAGGTTTCTATGCTGAGCCACGCTGGCTCAGGAATTCTGGGAGTTGAAGTCCACGAGTCATAAAAGAGCCAAGGTTGCCTACCCCTGGCCTAGATGACCCACAAGGTCCCTTCCAACCCTTGTTATTCTAATTCTAAAGGCCATAAAAGGGGGTCACGTGATCCCGAGACACTGCAACCATCACAAATAAGAATTTGACTCTTATTGTCAAGTGTCCGAATGTAAATCACGTGAACCACAGCCCCAATTGTGAAAAAGAGTCACTTTTTTCACGGCCGCCGTACATTCGAACAGTCACTAAGCAAGCTGTTGTAAGTCCAGGGCTACCTGTCCTGCTGGGCTTGGATTCAAAGCTTGCCTTGCAAGCAAGCAAGGCTGCAGTCCTCAAGATATTGTGCAGTTCTCCCCCCCACACACCCATCAATCTGTACCGGAGGATTCAAAGCTTGCCTTGCAAGCAAGCAAGGCTGCAGTCCTCAAGATATTATGCAGTTTCCCCCCCCCCACACACACACCCATCAATCCGTACCGGAGGCTGCTGCCCCCCCCCCCAGCGCCGCGGATCTTCCCCTCTCCTGGCGCCCCGATGCCAGCTTCGCTTTCCGAAGGCTCCGAAGGGCGCAAAAGAGACGCGGCGCGCTCCGCTCTGCGCCCCAAGAGTTAAAGCGATAGAGCCGCGGCTGGCTGGGAGGCGCCCTGAACGCTTTCGGAAAGGGGAGGCTGCAAGCGCCGAGGCCCCTTCCTGCTTCTCCGCCCGCCCGCCCGCCGAGCAAGCCAGGCGCCCGGGCTTGGGGCGTCGCCAGGTCGGGAAAGCCTTCGCCGGCAGCCGCCCGGGAACCGGCCAGGTGGGTGCACGGGGGGTGGGGGGGGGCGTCCGGAGACCGACCGATCGATGGATCGATCAGGCGATCGATCGAGCCTGCAAGCCGGGAGGAGCGAGCGAGCGGGAGGAGGGGAGGCACCTGACAGCCGCCGCTCTCCGGATCCGATCCAAGCCTCGCTCGGTCCCCGGAGCTGCGGGCGAGCCCGGCCCGGCCTCAACCCCCCCCCCACGCGGCCATTGTTTCCCTCCTTCCCTTCCACAAAAGCGCCTGGCCGAGCCCATGGTGCGCGGCGCTGGACAGGATCTCCCGTCGGGTCCGATCCAGAATCGGCCCCAGCGCCGCTTCGCCCGTCGCTTATCGGCCCCTTCTCGGGTGGGAGACCCTCCAGGCGAGCCGGTGCGAATGAAATGAACCAAGCTGACCACCACGGGCGAGTCTGGTGCCCTGGCTCGGTGGGTTGTGTGAAAGGATGGACGGCAGACAGAGAAAGACTTGAGGTTTTTTTTTTTTTTCAAACGGGGCATCCTTGAGATCGGGGCTGGGGGAGCAGGAAGGGATAGGTGAGCTTGCCACGTTTGCCCCTTTGAAATGGGACATGCATTCTCCTTTTCTATACAGGTAGTCCTCGACTTACAACCACTCGTTTAGTGACCGAAGTGGCAATGGCACTGAAAAAAAGTGGCTTATGACTGTTTTTCACACTTACGACCGTTGCAGCGCCCCCTAGGCTCCCACGTGTGCAAAATTCCAGACCCTGGCATGTAGTTATGACGGTCATGTGATCACAACCTTCTGACAGAGTCAGTGGGGGAAAGCTGGATTCACTTAACGACTGTGTTTCGCTTAGCAGCTGCAATGATTCACTTAACAACTGTGGCAGAAAAGGTCGTAAAATAGGGCAAAAATCCTGAGGTAAAAGTGTTTCCATCCCTTGTATTTCACAGTCATGTGACGAGAGTCCTCAAAGCCACCGTTGCGGGTTTCTTCGCCATTTGCCACCCTGGAGAGAACCGAGTCTGATCCGCCGTTGAGCCCAACGATGAAAATGGAGGCCCCAGAATCTCCGGCGGACCTGAAGCCAGCATTAGACCTGGATGGGCCAAGGGAAAGGCCCAGCGTGGCCCCGATGGGTTCGGACCAGCAGGATTTGAGGTGGAGAGGTCTTCCATGCATTAAGCAGGAGCCGGAAGAAGGCTGCCTCTCGTCCCTGCACTGGGAGGCCCAGTGGCAGGAGTTCCTGGGGGGCATGCAGGCCCCTTGTGCAGGATGGGGGTCCAGACCGCTGCCGGTCGCTGCCCCGTGGGGGGACACCAAAGCACCCTTGGCCCATGTGGAATTGGCGGCCGCCAGCAGCCATCGGTCCTCGGGAGGGGCGTTTTTCCAACCTGGGCTGCCCGGCTTTGTGGGAACGACGACGCAGCCAGCTGACCAGGAAGGGCAGAAAGTTAAAGAGGAAGTGGAGAACCAGGAGCCCCCCTACCAGCGCTTCAGGCACTTCCTCTACCAAGAAGCGGAGGGCCCCCGAGAGCTTTGCAATCATCTCCGGGAGCTTTGCCACCAATGGCTGAAGCCGGAGAGATACTCCAAAGAGCAGATCCTGGAGCTGGTGACCCTGGAGCAGTTCCTGGCTGTCCTGCCCCAGGCCATGGAGTGTTGGGTCCGGGAGTGCCACCCCCACACGTGTGCCCAGGCCGTGGCCCTGGCGGAGGACTTCCTGGTGAGGCATCCGGAGGAGGGGAGGCAGGAGCAGAAGGTGAGAGAGCCTGAAGTCCTCTTTGGGGCCTCAGGTGGGCCCACCAGCCTTCCAGATCCTTAATAGAAGCTGATGTAGAAGCTGTCCTTTAATTTGCCCATATGCCCCAGACGCAGAGGTAGGCAACCTCGGCTCTTTTATGACTCATGGACTTCAGCTCCCAGAATTCCTGAGTCAGCTTAGCTGACTCAGGAATTCTGGGAGTTGAAGTCCATGAGTCATAAAAGAGCCGAGGTTGCCTACCCCTGCCCCAGAGGGACGGGCTTTTAGGCACCACGAGGCATGAAGGGTATTCCTAGGGCAATTTTGGCCATCTTTTGGGAACTGCCAGTATCCTGAAGGGACCCAGCTGGAGGCAACATGGAATTTTGAAATTTTACAAGGTTGTTTTATCGTTTTATAACTGTTCATCTTGAATTAATTCTAGTTTCAATGTTAATTGCATTGATTATATTGAACGCCACTCAGAAATCTCCTCTGAGGGAGACAGGCTGTTAAGAAATAGAAGAAAGAAAGAAAGAAAGAAAGAAAGGAAGGAAGGAAGGAAGGAAGGAAGGAAGGAAGGAAGGAGAAAGGAAGAAAGAAAAGAAAGAAAGAAAGGAAAGGAAGAGAAAGGAAGGAAGGAATGAAAGAAAAGAAAGAGAAAGAAAGGAAAGAAAGAAAGAGGAGGAAGGGAGGGAGGGAGGAAGGAAGGAAGGGAAGAAGGAAGAAAGAAAGAGAAAGAAAGAAAGAAAGGAATGAAAAAAAGAAAGAAAGGAAAGAAAGAGAAAGGAAGGAAGGAATGAAAGAAAAAGAAAGAAAGGAAGGAAGGAAGGAAGGAAGGAAGGAAGGAAGGAAGGAAGAAAAAGAAAGAAAGAGAAAGAAAGAAAGAAAGGAAAGAAAGAGAAAGGAAGGAATGAAAGAAAAGAAAGAGAAAGAAAGAAAGAAAGAAAGAAAGAAAGAAAGAAAGGAAAGGAGGAAGGAAGGAAGGAAGAAAAAGAAAGAAAGAGAAAGAAAGAAAGAAAGGAAAGAAAGAGAAAGGAAGGAATGAAAGAAAAGAAAGAAAGAAAGAAAGAAAGAAAGGAAAGGAAAGGAGGAAGGGAGGGAGGAAGGAAGGAAGGGAAGAAGGAAGAAAGAAAAAGAAAGAAAGAAAGGAAGGAAGGTAGGAAGGAAGAAAGGAAAGAAAGAAAGGAGGGAGGGAGGGAGGAAGGGAAGAAGGAAGGAAGAAAGAAAAAGAAAGAAAGAAAGTGATGGAGGGAAGGAAAGAGGGAAGGAAGGAAAGAGAGGGAGGGAGAGAGGGAAGGAAGGAAGGAAAGAAGGAAGGTAGGTATCCTGGCTTTCCTAATCCTCCAATAGCTCTCCATCTTGAGCAATTCCAAACATTTGCTTATTTTTAGGGGCCAGGGATGTTTCATGTGGTGACCGTGAATTTTCCTGACTCTGATCAAGTATCATCTGAAAGGCTCCTTAGCAGGCCAGTGAAACAGGAGGTCAACGAAGATGGACTTTCCCAAGGTAAGCAGTTCTTAACTACCAATTAAATCAGGGTTTCTCAACCTTGGCAAGGTTTCTCAACCTTTAAGATGTGTGGACTTCAACTCCCCAAATTATCCAGCCAAGCAACCACGCTGGCTGGGAAATTCTGGAAGTTGAGGCCCATACCTTATAAAGCTGCCAAGATTAAGAAACACTAGCAGGGATAGGCCACCTTGGCTCTTTTATGACTGGTGGACTTCAACTCCCAGAATTCCTGAGCCAGCCATGCTGAGGGGAAAGGGAGAGGTTTCCAAGCTGAGCCAGGCTGGCTCAGGGATTCTGGGAGTTGAAGTCCACGAGTCATAAAAGAGCCAAGGTGGCCTACCCCTGCCCAAATGCCTGAATTTTGATCACGTGACTGTGAGGAAAAATATTTAAATATTTAAACCAGGAGTCTTCAAACTTGGCTCTTCCTCAAAGCACGAAGCTGAAAACACCAGCCTGAAGATGACGAATGGGACTTCGTCGAAACTTCGCCAAGACACTTCCAATTTTACGTGGGAGAAAACCCGAACAACCAAAGACCTACATATATATATATATATATATATGTGTGTGTGTGTGTATATATATGTATGTGTATATATATGTGTGTGTATATATATGTATGTGCATATATATGTATGTGCATATATGTATGTATGTATGTATGTATGTATGTATGTATTTGCAAAAAGCCAGAAATATACCCCCACCTGAAGCTTCTGATACTGGAAAACAGTAGCAACAAACTGTAAATAATGTTCTCCCCAAATTCAGCATTTCCTCTATTGTAGTTCAACACAGTCAGAATCAGAATCACAATAGAGCTGGAAGGGACCTTGAAGGTCTTCTAGTCGAACCCCCTGTTCAAGCAGGAGACACCATACCTTTTCAGACAAGTGGCTGTCCAGTCTCTTCTTAACAAGCTCCAGTGATGAAGCACCCATAACTTCAGAAGGAAAGCTATTCCACTAGTTAATGGTCCTCCTGTTAGGAAGTTTCTCCTTAGTTCCAGGTTGCTTCTCTCCTTGATTAGTTTCTATCCATTGTTTCTCATCCTGCCTTACTTTGGTAAATAAGTTGACCCCCTCTTCTTTGTGGCAGCCTCTTAAATACTGGAACACTGCTATCATGTCACCCCTAGTCCTTCTTTTCTCTAGACTGGCCAAACCCAAATCCTGCAACCGTTCTTCGTATGTTTTAATCTCCAGGCCTTTAATCATCTTAGTTGCTCGTCTTTGCACTTTTCGCCCAAAGCCGAGTGTCTCTATGTCATGGTTCCGACAGATGAAACTCTTCAAAGAACTTCAAGGCATTGTTTAGCTTAAAGAATCTTTATTCAAGTTGCATGGCATCGGCACATACATGGTTGAAGCCAAAATCTGAATTCTCCTCCCCTAAACACATCATATCAAAGTACAATTCCCTCCTTTAATTAACAGTCATAAATCACATTCTCCAATTAGTTTGAAATGCCAACCTTCCCTCCAGTTCTTCAACCCGCCATTCCTTATCATCTCTTATTTCAAACAGCCTTGAAAAAATACTCTACTACGAGGTTGTTATGTCTAACTAATTCCCATACACATTCTTCCTTCTCCCCTCCAGCATCATCTAATTCTAACTCTAAAAGTAACACACAAGTTAAGGGGGAAATGGCTGCATTTTCATATATTGTCAAAGTAAGAACATCCGATGTTAGCAGCGTTGACACTCTAGTTTGCACTCTTCCTTTGAGAATGAATTTTGTTGTGTTTTCTCTTTATTCCGGCAGACGATGGGCAGGTGGGTGAAATCAAAAAAGACAATGAGTGGAACAACACCATGGTAATGGAGCCCCATCATGGCTCATTGTCCACGGAAAGGCGAGAAGGGACAGGTGGACTTGGAGAAGCGGGAGAAGCCCAGAAGAATCCTCAAGGCCCACAGGAGAACGGCCCCAGAGGAACGGACGTAAATGCATCCGGAGAGAAACAATCCCTGTGTTCAAACTGTGGGGGAAGTTTTAATCCTATCTCTGGTCTGCTCGGCCCAGAAGGGTTTCCCCTGGGTGCGAATCCCTACAAATGCTCCGTGTGTGACAAGAGCTTCTGCCAGGTTGCCAAACTCATCGCTCACGAGCGGCTGCACACCGGCGACTGGCCGTACAAGTGCTCCTTCTGCGGCAAGAGCTTCAATCGGAGCTCCGACGTCTCCCGCCACGAGCGGATCCACACGGGCGAGAAGCCCTTCAAGTGCACCACGTGCGAGAAGTGCTTCAGCCAGCGGTCCAAGCTGATTGTCCACGAGCGGTTCCACACGGGCGACAAGCCCCACACCTGCTCCTACTGCGGGAGGAGCTTCCACCAGAGATCGGACCTGGTGAAGCACGAGCGGATCCACACGGGAGAGAAGCCCTACAAGTGCTCTGATTGTGGAGGGAGCTTCCACCGGAGTTCGGATCTGGTGAAGCACAAGTGGATCCACACCGGGGAGCGGCCGTACAAGTGTTCCACCTGTGAGAAGAGCTTCCGGCAGCGCTCGGCCCTCCTGTACCACGAGAGGACCCACACGGGGGAGAAACCGTACGCCTGCACAGCCTGCGGGAAAGGCTTCAGTTGCAAAGCCCACCTGGTGCTCCACAAAAGGACCCACACGGGGGAGAAGCCCTACAAGTGCAACTACTGCGGGAAAAGCTTCACCACCAGCTCATACTTTGTGAAGCATCAGAGGATGCATTTAGGGCAGGAAACTCGGCCGGTTCCGTGAACGAAAGAAAAAAGCGCCCTGAAATGTCTCAAGGTTTTTCCCTTGGCATGGATCGAAAGAGAACCCTCGCATGTAGAAAGCTAGCAGGTCAGAAGTATGATCCCGACGGCTTAGTTTTCTCTCTGCGGGGATTCATAAAACAAGTGGCGAACTTTCCGTCCTGTCGCTGCATTGGGAAGAGTCTCGGTCGGCCGCGGTTGCGAATCTCGAATTGTACAGTTTGGTTTGGGTGGAAAGAAACACCCCGGGCTGAATCGTGTGGGAGAAAAAGAAGCTGAGAAAAGGGCCTGTAACAGCTTGCCTCACTGGAAAAAAAACAAAACCATTTATAAAATGTACGGGTGAGGAGAGCAGTTAGGGAGGAGCGCTTAATCCCTGTCCTCTGAAATTGAGAAAATTCAGGGGTGTTTTCTTGAGGGGGGGGGTACCTGAACTGCTTGGAAGGGACCTGGAGGCAGGCCTCTGCTTCTCCATTTTAAAAGATTGGGTAGCAGTTAGGACAGGCCCTTGCAGTGGGGTTCTCGTACTGAGCTTGTAGACCCCCGTGGGCCTATCATCCCCCTATTCCTCCCGCATTTAGTTAATGTATTTTAATTAAAGCTGATAATAAGCGGAAAACTGACTTTTGAGTCAGGCACTGGCCTAAGGCCCAGAGGCTCCTCAGCCTTTCTTGGAAAATTAAAATGATAGATGGCTGCTTGGTTGAAAATGGGTCCAGATAGCCAGAAAAGAATGCTGCATTGGCCGAAGGGGGTTGCTAATTGAGGAATGCTGGGTGGGCTGGGGGTGACCTCCCCAATTGTAAAATTCTGAATATACACCGCCCCCCCCACTCAACCCCGTCTAGTAAGGTGGCTAAAAGTTCCTGAACGATGGGTCTGACCTCCTGTAATACGGCATCTTCCTGTGTTCCTAAGAAGAATTGTTTTAAATAATTTGTCTAGAGGTCACAAGTCTGAAAACCTCTGTAAAAAGAATCCCGAAAGAGAATTTAGCCAACACATTTCCCTTTTATACTCCGCTCTGTCCCCAGCCCCTCCTCCCAGACACAAGCAAGTTTTGAAAAAAGGAAAATTCGGATGTTTACATTTTGCTATTAAAAATGCATACTTTCTCAACAGGCATATGCGGCAGTTCTCGACTTACAGTACTCAATTAGGGACCGCTTGAAGTGACACCGGCACTGAAAAAAGTAACTATCGCACGATGGTTGTGGCATCCTCGTGGTCACATGATCAAAATTCAGACGCTGGGCAACCAACTCATATATTCATGACGCTTTGCAGAGTCCCAGGGTCATGTGATCCCACTTTGCGACCAAAGACAATGGGGAAGGCACTGAACAACCATGTTACTAATTTAACAATTGCTATAATTGACTTAACAACTGGGGCAAGAAAGGTTATAAAATGGGGCAAAGCTCATTTAACAAATGTCTCACTTAGCAACGGAGATTCTGGACTGAATTGTGGTCAGTTCTGGACTACCTGTAATTCATATGAGGATCCAGATTGTTGGGGGCAATGTAAATATATATATATATATATATATATATATATATATATACACACACACACACACACACACACACACACACACATTGCTTACTGGTGTACACCGCTTAGAGAGTGCTTGCACTTAAAGTGGTATATAAGTCTCATAAATAAATAAATAAATTTACAGTATAGAACTGTTAGACCAGCAAGCTTGGCTGCTTGAGGATGTGTGGACTTCAACTCCCAGAATTCCTGAGCCAGCCTGGCTCAGCTTGGAAACCTCTCGCTTTCCCCTCAGCATGGCTGGCTCAGGAATTCTGGGAGTTGAAGTCCACGAGTCATAAAAGAACCACGGTTGCCCACCCCTGAGCTAGACGGTCACTTGTCTGAGAGATGGTATAGGTTCCCCAGCTTAAGCGGGCGGCTGGACTAGAAGACCTCCAAGGTCCCTTCCAGCTCTATTCCATTAAGAATATTAAGCGATCAAGCATTAGGCAAATACGACTTCCCCCGTTGACTTTGATGAGCGGAAGCCGGCTGGGAACGTCGCATATAGTAGCCACAGGTCCCCATTGTAGAAACATGCCCAAATTTTGATCACATGACCGGGGGGATACTGCCGACGTCACAAGAGCGAGGGCTGGTTGTAAGGTGCTTTTTTCAGTGCCGTTGTCATTTCAAACGGTCGCTAAATGGATGGTCGTAAGCCGGGACTGCCTGTACCGCTTTCATTTCCGATAACCAATAAAGAGGGATGCGTGAAGATGAGAAACATTGTAAACTTTTATGGCGGGAAGAGCGCACGGACCGCCCTGGCCCAGAGGGAAGGCTGGCGGGGTTTCTTCTGCCTGTGAGCTACTCAGGGGCCTCTGATTGGCTACATCCGTAAGGCCGCCAGGCTGATCTGGAAGATGCTTTTAAATGCTCAGGCCCAAACCAGTATTTGGTTTTGGTTTCTTCAGCTGAGGTAAAAGGAAGGAGAATATTTATGTCTTTATGAGATGAAGTTGATTCTTGAAGAACTGGCGCCTTTCTTGCCCCAAATTGGAGACATGAGTTTTTGGGGGACAAGCCTAATTTCTATTCCAGGGGTCTTCAAACTTGGCCCTTTGATGACTGGCTGAGGAATTCTGGGAGTTGAAGTCCACAAGTCATCAAAGGGCCAAGTTTGAAGACCCCTGGAATAGAAATTATATGGCAGCTATATAAATTATGTAGCTCAGTGGCTGAGTACGTGTTTTGCCTGGAGAAATTTGCTGTGTTCACTTAATGCAGTGGTTCTCAACCTGTGGGTCAGGATCTCATTTGGGGTCGAACGACCATTTCATGGGGGTCGCCAAACAACGCGATCCGCCATTTTTTCCCCTTTTCCTTAGCTGTGCTACTCCCTTTTATGCTATTGGCTTTTGAAAGCCAATAGAATAGACTCTCTTGAATAGAGTCTAATTCTATTGGCTTTCAAAAGCCAATAGGAATTGTCCAGGCTGTCTCTGCCCTGCTGAGCCCGCCAAAAGTCCCATTCTGCAAACGGTGCTGTACCAGTTGAGTAGTCCTCAACTTACGACTGGTTGGGGGTCACGGCATTAAAAAGGTTGAGAACCACTGACTTAATGACTTCTTTTAAAAAAAAAAAAGGCTGGAAAATTGCTTCGGGCCCTATGGGTGGCCTCGGTCTTACAACCGTTCACCACTTCAGACTGTATTTCCAATCCCAATTTCGGTCATAATCTGAGGACTGCCTGTACAGAAATAGACGGCTATCGTGTCTCGGAAGAATATAGGTTTATTCTTCAGAGTCCCAAATTTTTAGGCCACCCAGAGTCACCTTGTAAGGAAGAGGGGCGGCATCAAAATGTAATAAATAAATAAAATAAAAGCACATTGATTCCTACCCAGAGGGCCCGTGTCTCTACAATTTTGGCCTCTTGGGGAAGAAAAAAAATGGCCAAATTTAGTTCATAAAGGAATTGGTGGACTTTTTAGCAGGTCAGGGAGAAGACCTAGAGATCACCTAAAGGAGAGCTTATCTCTACTTCTGCATCCAAATTGCACAAGGGATTGTTTAAAAAATCATTACATCCCAATCTGTCTCCGAGCCATCTTGAGAAACTCTACAGCCAACACTAAGGATTTAAATTGCCACAGAAATGGACAGTAAGCTGGACTGTGTCCTTGTTTCACTCCTGTTCCTGGAATGTCTACAGGATCGGGGCAAAAAAGTCAAGATGGCCGCAACAACGTGATGGAAACAAAGCCGGTGCAACTTCAGCCATACCGGTGCAGCCACCGTCTTGGGGACACACCTGCTCTTGTCCAAATTGTGTAGTCCCCTTGTCTGCCTGACCGTATCGTTGTTGTAGCAGAAAAGCTATAAAATGCCTTTCCTTTGTTAACATGTCTTAATAGAGATCGGAGGAGGTGGATGTGGTATTGTCGGAAGAAATCTGTATGTGTCTGTGTTTTGGAAAAAAAAAAAAGCATGAGTATGTTTGACTATTTATCTATCCTCGTGGTTGGGACGCTCCCTTTGGAATGCCTGTAATATAAATGGCTTATTTCTCAATGCCTTGGATCAGTGTCTTTGGTTAAACAAGGTGGATTCAAGTAGATCAACTCTCTTCAGGTGCGACTATGCAACCGTGGCAGCAACACCCCTCCCTCAACCTAACCCTGCCAAAGAATTGTTTGCCTTACTCAAGACTTGAACAACACAGCTGCCAAAATGACTAGTCCTCCAAAAGGAGGGCAAAGAAGTCGTTGCGTGGATTAATGTATTGATTAGATGGGGAGGAAGAAACGACAGGAATCTAAGCTGCACAAATCCTTATTTCAAAAACAGGTCTTTTCCAACTCCCTAAAGTTGTTGATGTACACTGGGACACAACTGGAAAGTGATCCAGGCCTCCAAGACACTCTCAAGGGCAATGCATGGCTACCTCTCTAGATTTTCTGTATCTACCTTGGATCCTTTTTTTACTTGTTCTGCTTTTTTGTTTAAGCAAACCTCGCTCTGCGAATCAAAAGAATCTGTCTCCGAGCCATCTTGAGAAACTCTACAGCCAACACTAAGGATTTAAATCGCCACAGAAATGGACAGTAAGCTGGACTGTGTCCTTGTTTCACTCCTGTTCCTGGAATGTCTACAGGATCGGGGCAAAAAAGTCAAGATGGCCGCAACAACGTGATGGAAACAAAGCCGGTGCAACTTCAGCCACACCGGTGCAGCCACCGTCTTGGGGACACACCTGCTCTTGTCCAAATTGTGTAGTCCCCTTGTCTGCCTGACCGTATCGTCGTTGTAGCAGAAAAGCTATAAAATTCTGTTTCTAGAAGAAATTGGCTGGAGAAAGGTGAGCCACTGCTTTCCCAGGTCTTACCTAAGGATCCATTTGACACCAGCAGATCCAATTCAGACAGAAAAGCACAATTTTTTCCCCTGACTTTTGGTGTCTTCCCCACTGTTTCTCCTAAGACCTTAAATGTTTATGGCTCAAGGGTGCATGTTTAATGACACAATTGGACACACAAGTGAGGAAGGACCCTTCAAAATCGCACTACAAGCTGTTCCAGCCTTTGAACCCTTAAAAATAGTGCTTTTATCTTGGAGGGGGGCTGTCTATGAGATGCATGCTCAACCTGAGGTTTTCTGATTTTTTTTCAATCTGCCTAATGTTTATGATGATCGTCTTGTACACCACATATATATATATATATATATATATATATATATATATATATATATATATATATATATATGATTAGAAATAAAAACAAAAATGCGACTCTTGGGAGTATTCATATTGTCAAAATAATGATCACCAAGAGAATATCTATCAAAAATAGAATTTAATCCACCAAGCTTTCGTCAAATACATTTGACATCGTCAGGGTTAAAAGGCAAACGCCGGGGGAAGTCTTATATACAGTTGTTTAATGCCTGTTTCCGGCTCCTCGAGCATGTCATCGGCCCCAGCTGATCAAGTTGAGTCCCAAGCAGGGGAGGAGAAAAGATCCTGACCCCCAACCTGACCAACCCTGAAACAGCTAACGGAGTAACGTATGACAGAATGCAAATTAGCAATGGAAAGAGGATAGGTGCTGATGTGGGGCGTGTGCTTGGGACTCAACTTGATCAGCTGGGGCCGATGACACGCTCCAGGAGCCGGAAACAGGCATTAAACAACATTAAACAATTGTATATAAGACTTCCCCCGGCGTTTGCCTTTTAACCCTGACGATGTCAAATGTATTTGACGAAAGCTTGGTGGATTAAATTCTATTTTTGATAGATATTCTCTTGGTGATCATTATTTTGACTATATATATATATAATGCTGTATTCTTCAAATAAATAACCATTTTGGTTTAGAAGCTCAGCCACGAATCTCATTCTTGAGAGGCAGAGTTAGCACCTCAGTGGACCTCACCCATTTACTAATAATCGCTTGCGTTAAAATAGCTCAAGCATAGCTATGTTGGGTCCAGAAGTAGCTGGGAAGTATGCAGTTCAGTAGTGAGTAAAAAGTTTTAAAAAAAGAAAAAAGGCAAGCATGCCGACTGGAGAATTCTGGGAATTGAAGTCCACACATCTTAAAAGTTGCCAAGTTTGAAAACCACTGATA